CAGGCAATCCACTCACCTCAGCCTCCCAAAGCACGGGATTACAGGCTGAGCCACTGAACCTGGCTTTGTATACTTTTTTAAAAAACACTTTTTATTATGGAGAATTTCAAACACACACAAAAGTAAATATACTATATGAACTCCCCATGGACACATGAGTCAGCTTAACAATTGTCAACTTGTAGCCATTGACTCTCCTTTCTTATTATTTTGAAACAAATTCGAGAAATCATAGATGAAATTCTGTGAGTCTCTAAAAGATAAGGACTTTAAGCCAGGCTCGGTGGCTCAGCCTATAATCCCGCGCCTTTGGGAGGCTGAGGTGAGTGGATTGCCTGAGCCCACGGGTTCGAGACCCGCCTGGTCAGTGAGACCTCATCTCTACAATAAATCAAAAAATCAGCCGGGCATGGTAGCGCATGCCTGTAATTCCGGCTACTCGGAAGGCTGACGTGGAAGGCTCGCCGGAGCCCAGCAGGTCTAGGCTGCGGTGGCCGGGAGCGACCACTGCACTCCAGTCTGGGTGACAGAGTGAGACTCCCAAAAAAAAAGATAAGGACTTTAAATGACAGTACCATTATCTCAGCTAAAAAAATTTATAATTCCTTAATGCTAAATATTCAGTGTATTCAGGTTCTCAATTTTCAATTGTCCCATAAAAGTCAACTAAAATCTGTTTGTTTACATTAGAATCCAGTAAAATTAGTATACATATAGCTGAATTTCATACAGATATTAACTTTTGAAACTTGGGATCTTTTCCAGTGATGATACATTCAAATTTTGCATGGCCTTCAACACCTGAGCCATTGTCATTTCATTATGATATACTGACCTGGTCTGTGGCATCATTAAAACCTACCCACTCCATTATTACCTTATAATTGGTAAGGTCACTGAGGTTTCACATATATCCTTTCCTACCCTTTCCCCTGAAAGAGGATCTCACATTAGAATCTGGGGATTTATTTTTTAATTGTGGTAAAATGCACATAGCATAAAATACATCACCTCAACTTTTTTTTAAATTTTTTTTGAGTTGGAGTCACTCCATCGCCCAGGCTGGAGTACAGTGGCACACTCACAGCCACCCCAGTGTCAACCTGCTAGGCTCAAGCGATCCTTCTACCTCAGCCTTCCAAGTAGCCGGAACTACAGGCGTATGCTACCACACCCAGCTAATCTTTTGATATATTGCAGAGATGAGGTCTTGCCAAGTTGCCTGGGCTGTTCTCAAACCTGTGGGCTCAGGCAATTCCCTCACCTCAGCACCATGGCTGCACCATGGTACATTTCCATCAACAGTGCACAAGGGTTTTAATTTCTCCACATAGTTGTTATTTTCTGTTTTGTTGATAGTAGCCATCTTGGTGGGTGTGAGGTGGTATCACTGTGGTTTTGGTTTGTGTTTCCCTAATGATTCATGGTGTTAAGCATCCTTTTATGTGCTTGCTAGCCATTGTGTATCTTCTTGGATAAATGTCTAATCAAGTCCTTTGTCACTTTGCTTTTTGGTTTTTTTTTGAGTTGGAGTCTCACTCTGTCACCCAGACTGGAGTGCAGTGGCCGCTCCCGGTCACCGCAGTCTCAACCTCTTGGGCTCCAGCGATCCCTCCACCTCAACCTTCCAAGTAGCTGGAACTACAGGCATATGCTACCACACCCGGCTAATTTTTGGATTTATTATAAAGATGAGGTCTCACCAAGTTGCCCAGGTGGGTCTCGAACCTGCGGGCTCAGGCAATCCACTCACCTCAGCCTCCCAAAGCACGGGATTACAGGCTGAGCCACCGAGCCCAGCTACTTTTTTTTTTTTTCCCTGAGTCAGAGTCTCACTCCGTTGCCCTGGGTGGAGTGCAGTGGCATGCTTACAGCCACTGCAGACTCAACCTGCTGGGCTCAGGTGATCCTTCTGCTTCAGTCTTCCAAGTAGCTAGAACCACACCCGGCTTTTTTTTTTTTTAATTATAGAGATGAGGTCTCACCAAGTTGCTCAGGCTGGTCTAGAACCCTTAGGCTCAGGCAATTCTCTCACCTCCACCTCCCAAAGTGCTGGGCTTACAGGCGTGAGCCACTGTGCCTGGCTGTTTGTCACTTTTTAATTGTGTTTTTGTTGTTAAGTTGTAGGAGTTCTTTATATATTTTGGATATTAACCACTTATCATATACTCTGAGGATCTTTTGTGATGAGACCTGTGGATGAGTATTTTTTTAAAGCTTCCCACATTGAGAACTATTTTCTTAGGAGGTAAGATGGTGTGTTTAAGTTAGTCCTCACTGGGACACATGGGTAATTCATCATCTAAGAACAAAGTATTGAAATGTCCTTCTTGACTGAGCACAGTGGCTCGTGCCTATAATCCCAGCACTTTGGGAGGCTGTGGTGAGAGGATTGCTTGAGCCCATGGGTTTGAGACCAGCCTGGGCAGCTTGGCAAGACCTCATCTCTACAATAAATCAAAAAATTAGCCAGCCGTGGTGGCGCGTGCCTGTAGTTCCAGCTACTTGGAAGGCTGACACAGAAGGATCACCTAAGTCCAGCAGGTCGAGACTGTGGTGGCCGTGAGTGTGCCACTGCACTCTAGCCTGGGCGACAGAGTGAGACTCCAACTCAAAAAAAAAAAGAAAAGAAAGAAATGTCCTTCTCCCTGGTTACTTTATGTGTTCATCAGTGCTGTCCACTGGTGGTAGGGTCCTTGCTTTTCCCAGGGTTGTCAGACTCACAGTTCTCTGGTTTCTTTCCTCCTTACAGAGGAAAAATAGAACAAAGTACCCATATATTAACACTCCTGATTACAACAATGACTAACGTTGTATCTATGTTATTGTTATCATCTTTCTTAGATAGTACAACTACCTTTTTGAAGACTCTATCATCACTTTCTACTTTTAAGTAGCTATGGACTCACAGCCTTTCCCAGACATTTCATTTAGACATAAAGATTATTCTATATTTTAGGATGTTCAATCTGTTACAGCCTGGATAGTAGTCCATTTAATTATCATTTTCATCTTTGTGCCACTACCTCTGACATCCCAAAAAATATCCTTGCTTTCCAGTATCAATAGGACCCATCCTGGTTTTCCGTGTCTCAGGAAATGGAATCAGCTGCCATTTAAGAACTCCTGGTTATTTTGATGGTAAATACCATTAGGCACCAGTATCCAGGCACGTGTATTCACAGGTGTGAGTGGGGCAGTAAAGCACTGGACCTAATTCAGTGACAGAGTTGGAAAAAGTTTTCTTTTTTCTTTTTTTTTTTTTTTGAGTTGGAGTCTCACTGTCGCCCAGACTGGAGTGCAGTGGCCGCTCCCGGCCACCGCAGCCTCGACCTGCTGGGCTCCGGCGATCCTTCTGCCTCAGCCTTCCAAATAGCTGGAACTACAGGCACGCGCTACCACACCCGGCTGATTTTTTTGATTTATTGTAGAGATGAGGTCTCACCTACCCAGGCGGGTCTCGAACTCACGGGCTCAGGCAATCCACTCACCTCAGCCTCCCAAAGGCGCGGGATTACAGGCTGAGCCACCGAGCCGGAAAAAGTTTTCTTAATGGTAAAGGCTTATATTGATCATTCCAATTTAACATACCACTCATGTGGTCTGCCTTCCTGATGGTTTGTGGATCAATCAACCACATTGACAGAATCCTTTGAGGCTGCTGTTAACATGATCTCCATCTTAAATTTGAACAAACTGAGACAGCAAGGTGTTACACAACTTGCCCAAGTCCGGGTTGAAGGCCAGACACAGTGGCTCACGCCTGTAATCCCAGCACTTCGGGAGACCAAGGCAGGAGAATCGAAGACCACCCTGGACACCCAGAAGTTCGAGACCACTCTGGACAACATATGAGACCTCGTCTCTACAAAAGCGAAAAAAATTAGCCGGGCATGGTGGGGCACACCTGTAGTACCGGCTATTGGGGAGGTTGAGGCAGGAGAAACACTTAAGCCCGGGAGGTGGAGGCTGCAGTGAGCTAGGATGGTGCTACGGCACTACAGCCTGGGCCACAGAGTGAGACCCTGTCTCAAGATAGACAAACAAGGATCGAGTAGGTGTTGAAGCTGGGATTTAAATCCAGCGCTGTCTTATTTCAGAAACTGAACTCCGAGGGTTTCCCACAAGGCCCTCACCCTCTGCCTACTGTCAAAAAGACAGAACCTCGCCCTTGGCCAAAGGCTTTCCGCCAAGTTGCCCCCTGAGGACTGCCCGCCGAGGCAGGGTCTCCTAGCTGTGGCGGGTGCGGAGGAGAGGAAACGCTACCCAGAGTCTTCTTTTCTCCCTGCAGGACTCGGGCGTGCGAGTGACGAGGAGGGCCCTCCACGAGAAAGGCCTGAAGACGGAGCCCCTCAGGCGGCTCCTCCCCAGGAGGGGCCTCCGGACAAACTCCCGGCCCAGCTCCGCGGCGCTGCCGGACGCCAGGGCTCCCGGGGGAGGCAGCAAGGCCCCGAGGGCGCCCAGGACGGTCCCCCAGGGCAAGGGGAGGTGAGCGGGCTCCCCCGGCACGAGCGGCCTCGGCCTCCCTCG